AGGTGGACTATCTTAGGTAAGTTAATGTTTCCCCAAAGCAGGCACTACAGTTCCAAACTATCCAAAAGCTCACCCATTTCCCCCAAAGGCAAAGGATCCTGGTTTCTGTGTTGGATCCAGGAGGAAACCCCCTTCCCCTCTGGATTTCCTAAAACATCTAAACTGTTACTCACTGGCTCTTACAACAAACAGGAACTCGCGAGTTTCCCTGGTTTCAGTAGAACAGGATGAATTATCAAGAAGCTTCAACAGAGATGGCTCAGGGTCAGAGAGCTCCACACTAAGGGAGTGGAGCTCAGAGCTGAGCTTTACCCTGGAACTCCAAGGCCCTGGGGGAGGCAGACAGGGCAGTGGGCTCAGGGGTACCAGCACCCGCTACTCACCAGCCTGGGGGGTCACCAGGCCTCCTGTCCCCACCCCGCTTCTTGGCCAGAAGAACAGTTGAAAGAAAATTGAGAGCTTGCCCTTTGCAGTGATTGGTTGTCACCACGGGCTTCCCTGAAGCCAGGGGATTGGAGAACGGGAATATATCGGTGTCTCCAGTATAGCAAGGTTTCCTGCTCACAAATCACTGTTTCCATTGTTCTCCCCTCTCATCTCTCTGAAAGTAAATAGTTTAAAAAGTGACTATATCGGCCCTGGCCAGAGAGCTCAGTCATTTATAGATAGGATTGTCCTGATCTACCCATTTCTTCGCTCAGGCTGCCCTGTGAGCCCCCACTGCCCGGCTTGCTCTCTCAAGAGCAAATCATTCCGGGAGAAACTGCCTCCAATAAACAGCTCGCACCATTGAAGGGGCAGCCCTGCCTGTCGCGGCCTTAGGAAGCCAGTGTCCACTGCTCCCTAAACCGGGACTTCAGGACTGAGAAGGCACTCTCCCTGCCAAGCAGGCGTTTGCTGCGCTGAAGTCGCTTCCCAGGAGGCAGGGTTTGCGCGGGTGAAATCAGAGGCGGCTAAAGGGAGCCTGCTGCCCCCAATCCGCTCCTGCCAGGGGGTCACAGCCAGTCACACCCTCAGGGTCGGGGCAGCGCGAAGGGCTACGGAGAATCCCCTGGGCTGGGCAGCACCCCTGGCGCTACAAAGAGAAACCAAGAGTGGAACTGCTTCTGAGGAAAAGTCTGCTGGGCACACCTAGTCCCCAGCAGCCCCAGACAAAAGGCCGAGGCCCCAGGCTGCGGAGCACCTCTTGGCGCCAGGTCATTTTGTCTGAAGGCCACATGTGGGGCTGGCTGCGAATTTCTCACCACTTCCCCCAATGGACCCACATGTTGACAATGATGATGATTTACCACAAGAAGAAAACATCAGTTTCATGCACTATAAACTTTGCATTAATGAAAAACGTCTTTATTTGACAAAATTTACCTACTATGTGTAGGTTTTCATAAAGTGTGGTGTAAATATACTAAACAAACCGGTATTTCAATAAAAGGAGGTTTAACATTTGAAAAAAAAGTATATAGGGCGCTGCAGTGACATTTCCGACTGTGGGAGCCCAGCTTCGCGGTCTTCTGATGAACCCTAGCAACACCAGAAGGGTGACCCTGGAAGCCAGGAGATGTGTGGTCTAAGTTGGAAACCCTCGCTACGTGGCGGCCTTGCCTCTCTTGTGGCAGAAGTTGGAACTTTTCCTGTGCACCTAACCCAAAGGCATTGATGCCCCCTTCAAAGAGATAAGAGACCAAGGAATGTTTCATGCCTGGTTCCGAATCTATAAAGAAGAAGGCCTGTTGGCTTTGGATTCAGGAATTGCTCCTGCTTTGCTAAGACAGCCATCAAATGGCACCATTGAAATGGGCATTTCTCACCGAAACCGATTTGGCTAAGTGGATAGAGCGTTGGCCTGCGGACTGAAAGGTCCCAGGTTCGATTCCGGTCAAGGGTATATACCTGGGTTGCCAGCACATTACCGGTAGGAGATGTGCAGGAGGCGGCTGGTCGATGTTTCTCTCTCATGGATGTTTTTAACTCTTTATCCTTCTCCCTTCCTCTCTGTAGAAAATCCATAAAATATATTTTAAAAAGAAGTGGGCATTTCTCAAAGCTTGGAGAGATGATTTGTAGGGCCTTTAGAAGATTTGAATGCAGGCTCAGGGACGCTTGTTCCAAGGCGGCGTGATTGGCCGCTTCATTGTTCCCGTGCTGCCAGCAAGAAGGTAGCCAGGGTCTGTGGAGGGGTGTCCTTCCAGTTGGTCAGCGGGCCGAGGGCGGGGAGCCGGCCTGCCTGAGGCCAGGGGCGCCGGGCGCGTGGCGCTGTGACAGACCCTGCCCCTCGGTCTGGCCGCCACCCCTCCTGCTCTTCCGGCCGCCGCCGTCGCCGCCTTCATGGCCAATGACAGCGGCGGGCCGGGCGGCTGA